ATCTCTTAAGAACTAAAGTCAAGTGGTAAAGACAATCTTCAAATGTTTTGCCGAAGAGTGTAAAATCATCCATAAAAATTTCAAGCAAATTTTTCAGTCATGTCAGAAAAAATTGCTGACATGCAACGCTGAAATGTAGCAGGGGCGTTGCACAGACCAAATGGCATTCTCCTATAGGCATATGTTCCATGAGGGCATGTGAAAGTTGTCTTATCCTGATCTTCGGGTGCAATTGGTATTTGGTTATACCCTGAATTGCCATAAAGAAAACAGTAAAAACCATATCCTGCAATTCTTTCTAACATTTGATCAATAAATGGTAAAGGAAAATGATCTTTTCTGGTAGCATCATTGAGACGTCTATAATCAATACAGATTCTCCATCCTGTAACAGTCCTCGTAGGCATGAGTTCATTATTTTCATTCTTTATAACTGTCATACCTCCTTTCTTTGGTACTACCTGAACTGGACTTACCCAAGGGCTATCTGAAATTGGGTAAATAATACCTGCCGCTAGAAGCTTTACAATCTCCTTTTTCACCACTTCCTGCATTGCAGGATTCAATCTCCTTTGGGGTTGGATTATTGGCTTGTAGCTATCTTCCATGAGGATTCTATGCGTACAAATTGCTGGACTAATCCCTTTGATATCCTGTATAGTCCACCCTAAAGCTCCTTTGTATGCTTTTAAGACTTGAATTAGTCTTTCTTCTTGTTCTGCAGTCAAAGAAGATGAAATAATTACTGGAAATAGTTCTTGCTCAAGATAAACATATTTTAAATGAGAGGGAAGAACTTTGAGTTCAATTTTTGGTTGAACTTCTTCTGATTGCATCTCCTTATCCTCTGAATCTTTTTCCAGTATTTCAGCTTCTCTCTTAATTATGGGATCATCATCTTGTGCGGTGCCTGATTTGGTCAAACATCTTTCCATTGAGTCTGAAATTAATTGATCATCTTTGAATTCATCTGCAAGATCACTAATCATGTCAATAGAAAAGCATGAAGATGATGCCTCATCACCTGAAAATCTTAGTATCTTTTGCATATAAAAAATGACTCTTTCTTCATCAACTCTCAAGATTAGTTTCCCTTGATGAACATCTATGATTGCTCTTCCTGTAGCAAGAAATGGTATCTACTCTTACAAGCACATTTTCAATTATTCCCTTAGGTTTCTTAGTACTTTGATCTGCAAACTGAAGAGAAACACCTATGTCCTTCATTTCACCAAGATTCAATTTTTTAAAGATAGAAAATGGCATCAAATTTATTGAAGCTCCAGAATCGCAAAATGTTTTTTCAAAATATACACCTCCCAAAGTGCATGGAATGGTAAAACTGCCAGGATCACCAAGTTTTTGTGGTAGCTTATTTTGAAGTATAGCACTGTATTTTTCAGTAAGCATTACCACAGAAACTTCTTCCAATTTCCTTTTACTTGACAAAATTTCTTTTAAAAATTAAGCATATGAAGGCATTTGCAACAAAGCATCAGTAAAAGGAATATTAATATGAATCTGTTTTAAGATTTCCAAAAACTTTGCAAATTGACCATCAAGCTTTTCTCGTTTCATTTTTTGTGGAAAAGGAATTGTCATAGGTGGGGCAGCCATTTTTTCAGAAATTTTTTCTTCCTTATTCTTTATTTCTTTCTCCTTTGATGGTTCAGATGGTTTTTCAAAATTCTTACCCTTGTCTACCTGTTGTTCTGTCTGGTTCTTTTCTTGTCTGCCTGCATAAGGTTCATCAAGTTCCTTACTTGACCGTAAAGTGATGGCCTTAAGGTGCTCCTTTGGATTTTTCTCTGTATTGCTTGGTAATGGACCCTGAATCTTTTCTGACACAAGAGCTGCCAATTGGCTTAACTGAATTTCCAGATTTTTGAGGGATGAATTTGGCATTCCATCTTTTCATCAGTGACCTTAATATACTTGTACAAAAGGTCATCAAGACTTGGATGAGCTTGTTGGGGCCTCTGCTGGTATGACCCTATTTGTTGATATAGTCCTGCTTGCTGATAAGGTCTGTAACTCGGTTGCCCACGATTTTGACTCTGGTCTCCCGGCGGACCTTGTATCTGTTGTTTCTGGAAGCTTTGTGAGTTTTCTGCACCATTTGGGTTACTCCACTGAAATCCTGGATGCTTCTGTGCCATTGGACTCCCAAAAGGATATGGCTTGTAACCGATGACATTAACCTGTTCCTCCGTTTGATTGGTTGCTTGACATTCATGGTTCTGGTGGTTTCCTCCGCACATGTCACAAGCCTCAGATTGGTTTGATTGTTGTGTATTCACCTGAAAAGATTCAAACTTTTGTGCCAAAGAAACAATTTGCTGCGTTTAGTGTATTTAAAGCATCAACCTGATTTACCGTAGCAACCTTTTTAATTATTACACGCTCAGATGGCCATTGGATAGCATTCTCAGAAATTTCATTCAACACTTGCAATGCTTCCTCTGTGGTTTTTCCCATTACAGAACCTCCTGCAGCTGCATCTATCACAATTCTAGCAGAGGATTCTAACCCGTGATAAAAAATGTACAATTGCATATGTTCAGGAATGTCATGGTGTTGGCATTTTCTTAACATTGCTTTTAATCTTTCCCAAGCTTGGTAAACTGACTCAGTATCAGTCTGCAAGAAATTAGATATGTCTTGTCTTAACTTTGTTGTTTTAGCAGGGGAAAAATATTTGTTTAAAAACTTCTGAGTCATCTGGTCCCATGTCGTAATGGACCCTTGAGGCAAACTTCGCAACCAAGTCTTGGCATCTCCTTTTAAAGAAAAAGGAAATAGCCTTAACTTGATAGCTTCAGGAGGTACTCCATTGTACTTAGCAATTTCTACAAGTTCTAGAAAATCAATTAAATGACTATGTGGGTCTTCACTTGTATCACCAGTGAAGATACAAGATTGTTGAATTGTCTGAATCAGGCCGGTCCTGATTTCAAAGTTGTTGGCTGCCACTGGGGGCTTCCTGACACTAGATTCACAGTTGAAGCGATCAGGTCTAGCATAATCCCTAAGGATTCTGTTTGCTGGCCTTGGCGCCACTTCATCAAATTGCTCCTCTATATGGACTGGTGGTGGGATCCCAAGTGGGTTATTATCTTCTGCTTCCTGGTTTTCCGTTTCTTTACAAGATGCTCCTTGAGAAGACGATGTTTGTTCTTTCCTGCGTAATCGAATAAATCTTTCAATTTCAGGATGGTAATTAGCCAATTCTTTTATAGAGGAGCGGGTCATAAACTACTTAAAATTTTGAAAGTAAAAAAAATTAACATTAATTTCTAATATAGTACTAGTAATTAATAACTAAACTAAAGTAAATTTCAAATATAAATAGTAAAGAAAAACAAATACCACAATATTGTAGATAATAATACTAGTAATTAGTCCAGTAAAATAAAAATATAAAACAATGAAACTAACAAGTAAGCATCAGTAGTAATACTAACAATGAATTGAAATAGTATAGTATTATCAATTATAAACAAAAGTTGTACTAGTAAATAATAGTGATCAGTAAAAATAACATTATAGAAGTACTACTACTAACAAAAATAATATATTATTACAGAAAAATAATTATAACTAAACAATGATAAGAAAATAATAATATGTCACAACAAACTATATTGAAAAATAAAAATAAAAATACGTCGAAGTACTGGCAATGAGAAAAAAAAAAGATACAATAAGTGATAGTACTAATAATAATTACACTAAATATAATGAAGGAAAGCTAATGATAGCAATAATAGAAAGAAGTACTAATATTTTTTTTCTTTTTAAAGTGCTGTTACAAAAAGAAAATGATAATATTAATATTACAGTAGCAGTTATAGTACTACTTGGTAATTAGTGATAATAGTAACAGATAAATAACAATAATAAGGTCTCAAATTAGTAACAAAATATTTAATCTAAAGTAGGTGTCTGCCAATCCCCGGAAAAGGTGCCAAAAATTTGACGAGGCCAATGTGTATAGGATTTTCCTGCTCGTGCTTTGTCAAATTCTAGTATAGTTTATGATATCGTCCCACAGAGATTGGAACATCTACGCTACAGACTTTTAATATTTCAACTACTATTTGAGAGAATCAATTTGATGAAAAGTGAGTGAGGTTTAGAACTTGTTAATTACTTAAATAAAAACGAAGAACTTGCAGAAGATTTATAATTTAAAAGAGTTGGGAATCGTTGAATTCACTTGATAATATATTACAATAAAATCTCAATTTTTACATGTATTTCTCTAAGGAATAATTGCTTATTGCTAATACAATTATATTTAGCTCACTAAGAAGTAGTCAATTAATAACACTCCGTGAGGTTATGTGATTAATTGAGTTAAAACTAGTGACGATTAGACCGAAATATTTTTCTTGCTTGAATTGTGCTATGAGGTAGTAAGAACTTCGTGAGAATATTTTTACTAACAAAAATCAATAATCTTGCCTATAACAATTCCTCCGCGAGAATTAAAACTGAGGCAAGCAAGATTATGAACTTGGAATAATAGTTTACTAAAAATTATTCCCACTCTACTATTTTCTTCATTGGTTATTATATATCAATTTTGCTCCGTGAGAATTACAAAATCAATATAAAAATAATTTAGAGATAAAAATATGTAGAAGTGATAATAATGATTAATCAAAACTATTATTACGGCACAATACAAAATATAAAAAGAAAGTTTCAAGCCAAGGATGTATTAAATTGAGACAGTATTATAATATATATATCAAGCTTCATCAACTATCCCAACAAAAGAAGTTACTCCATTACGAAGTAATAAAAACTAATTTAAAACAAAGAACTTATGGAGTAATATTGATCTTCTAAAAGAAAGACAACTAGTAGAAAATACTAAAGGCAAAGAGAGAGACCAAAGATTAGTTTTCTCCCGTAAGACACACTTTTACAATACATTATGAGTGTCTATTTATAAGAAATGTGAAGCACATGTGAGATGATGTTGCAACTTTAAGTCTTGAAGTTGTGACTTCAAAAAGTTGATGTTGTAANCAAACAATGCACGGCATCACCCTTCGTGCTTTAACACTCTTCCTCACCCAAACAACAATCACAAACAAGGGGCAAGGGAATAAACAAAATAATAATAGAAATCCCAGCAAGGGAACACAATTAACCAATTAAATCCCGGCAAGGGTACAACATTAACAATCTCAACATCCCGGCAAGGGAACAATTTAATAATTCTTTCTCTTTTGCTTTCACTTTTATTTCATAACTTACTTTACCACTTGAGCCAATGCTCCAAAGGGTTCAATCATCTCATATACTTTCACAATTCATAATATAACTCGAGCCAATTCTCCATGATGTTCAAAGGTCTCAATTCCTTCCACAAACTTTTTACAACAACTAGAAATCATCACCAAAGCATGATGAATACAATGAAATCAAGATATTCACAATATAAGGATTCACGGTCATGCTAGACACCAACGTATAGATACTCGTTACCATGCCTATACGTCGTACACGACTCATACCACATAGCAAATAGGACTCAACTCCTAGTCCCTCAAGCTAAGGTTAGACCAAACACTTACCTCGATTCCTTGAACACAACTCAAGTCTCAATTATAGCTTTACCCCTTGATTCCACCGCCAATTCGCTCGTATCTAATCAAAAATTACTTAATTACATCAATAAATGCTAAATGAATCAACTCCAATGCATAAAATGAGTTTTTTCAAAGTTTTACCCAAAAAGTCAAAATTGCCCCCCGGGCTCACCTGGTCAAAACCCGAGGTTCGAACCAAAACCAGATTACCCATTCCCCCAAGAACTCAAATATATAATTTATTTTGAAATCGGACCTCAATCGAGGTCAAATCCCCCAATTTTTGAAAAACCTAGGTCCTACCCAAAACACCCATTTTTCCCCATGAAAATTATTGATTTTAAGTTGAAATCATGTTCAAAGGTGTTAATGATTGAAGAAAACTAGTTAGAAATGACTTACAATTGATTTGGAGAAGAAAGGTTGTTTGAAAAATCGCCTCTTATGTTTTAGGGTTTTGAAAAATGAAAAATAGCTGAGAATCCCGTCTATTTATACCTCTGTCGGACCCCCTGTGCGGACCGCACAAAATGGACTGCGGCCGCACAGGCCTGTGAACCTGAGGGCCTGTGACACTGTGCGGACCGCACAAAATGGAGTGCGGCTGCACAGCACCCACCGCGCCCGCACAAAAGCGACCGCGGACCGCGCTGGCCCCCCCTCCGCGCACCGCACAAAGGCGACTGCGGACCGCGCTGGAGGGTTCAGAGAACTGAGATTGCTCTGAACCTGCAATATCTGTGTTTTTAAGCCTAAGACCTTGCGGAACTTACCTGAAACTCCCCCGAGCCCTCGGGGCTCCTAACCAAACATGCGTACTAACTCAATAATATCATACGAACTTATCCGTGCGATCAAATCGCCTAAATAACCTCAAAACAACGAATCAAACCTCAAAATCATGAATTTTTTCCTCAAACTTCATCAAGTTTCAAATTTAGAAATTCAAGTCCGAATCACTTCAAACGACGTCCGTTTTCAACCAAATTTCACAGGAAGGACTTAAAACATATATAAGACCTGTACCGGACGCCGGAACCAAAATACGGGCCCGATACCATCGCTTTCTAATCAGATATCATTTCAATTTCCTTAACAATTTCAGAAAAATAATTTCCTTTTTAAAAATTCATTTCTCGGGCTCGGGACCTCGGAATTCGATTCCGGGCATACGCCCAAGTCCCATATTTTCCTACGGACCCTCCGGGACCGTCAAATTATGGGTACGGGTCCGTTTGCCCAAAACGTTGACCAAAGTCAAATTTATTCATTTTAACATCAAAACTTAGCATTTTTCACAGAATTTCATATTTAAGCTTTCCGGCTACGCGCCCGGACTGCAAACGTAAATCGAGGCGACTCTAATGAGGTTTTCAAGGCCTCGGAGACACATAATTCAATTAAAAACTGGTGATGACCCTTTGGGTCGTCACATTCTCCACCTCTAAAACAACCGTTCATCCTCGAACGGACAGAAGAAGGAAGTACCTGAGTCGGGGAAAAGATGAGGATAACGGCTCCGCATATCAGACTCGGACTCCCAGGCCGATGCCTCAGGAGGCTGACCTCTCCACTAAACACGAACAGAAGGGAAACTCTTCGACCTCAACTGACAAACCTGCCGGTCTAGAATAGCCACCGGCTCCTCCTCATAAGACAAGTCCTTGTCCAACTGGACAATGCTGAAATCTAACACGTGGGCTGGATCGCCGTGATACCTCCGAAGCATGGACACATGAAATACTGGATGCACGGCTGATAAGCTCGGCGGCAAAGCAAGTCTATAAGCCACCTCTCCCACTCGATCAAGAATCTCAAACGGACCAATGAACCTAGGGCTAAGCTTGCCCTTCTTCCCAAATCTCATCACGCCCTTCATAGGCGACACTCGGAGCAATACCCGCTCACCGACCATAAAAGCCACATCTCAAACCTTGCGGTCTGCATAACTCTTTTTCCTGGACTGAGCTGAATGAAGCCTATCCTGAATGATCCTGACCTTGTCTAAGGCCTCCTGAACCAGATCCGTACCCAACAACCGAGCCTCTCCCGGCTCAAACCATCCAACCGGAGACCGACACCGCCTACCATATAAAGCCTCATAGGGAGCCATCTGGATGCTCGACTGGTAGCTGTTGTTGTAGGCAAACTCTGCTAAAGGCAAAAACTGATCCCACGAACCTCCAAAGTCAATAACACAAGCTCGGAGCATATCCTCGAAAATCAGAATAGTCCGCTCCGACTGCCCGTCCGTCTGGGGATGAAATGCTGTGCTCAACTCAACCCGCGTGCCCAAATCTCGCTGAACTGCTCTCCAGAAGCGCGAGGTAAACTGCATACACCTGTCCGAAATGATAGATACGGGCTCACCACGAAGGCGAACAATCTCCCGAATATAGATCTCAGCTAACCTCTTAGAAGAATAGGAGACTGCCACATGAATGAAATGCGCTGACTTGGTCAGCCTATCAACAATGACCCAAACTGCGTCGAACTTCTTCCGAGTCAACGGAAGTCCAGTAACAAAGTCCATAGTGATCCGCTCCCACTTCCACTAGGGAATCTCAATCCTCTGAAATAAACCACCAGGCCTCTGATGCTCGTACTTAACCTGCTGACAATTCAAACACCGAGCCACATATGCAA